AATTCTTTAATAATAATGTGTTAACATTATAGGGCTTTGATTCCTTATAGTGTTTTTTATCAAAAGCTGTCTTCAATTTAATATAATTTATTCGATTTGAGGCGGATTTTTGAGTTGGAATGACTGATGTTAGATGGGTGTGAAGGACTGCGTTATTTTATTTTATTTTTAATTCATGATCAATTTTTTTGAAAAATCGTGATTTTTCAAAAAATTGTGAAAATCGTGACCAAGTTTTGATTATCATGAGGAATTAAACAATATTTTTAAAATTTTATTGTTAAATTTTTAGTGCAAAAAATTGCATGTTGATAGATTATTTATGCAAAAAAATACATGTTATTATATTTTTAATGCAAAACTGTAGTTTAAAATTTGTTGTTAATGCAAAAAAATTAAAATGTATTATATTTTTAATGCAGTTTTGCATTAAAAATGTATTTTTAATTTTTTAAATTGTAAATGCAAAAAATACATGTTGTTAAACAGTATTATCATGAGAAATTAAAGTGAATATCATTGTAGAAAAATAGTGGCATGTGTGATAATTACATTATCTTGCATTTTTCAATTTTATTATTAAATTTTTAATGCAAAAAATATATGTTCTTGATAATTGAGTTGTAGCCAAGTTTGGAGCTTGTATTTTTTATTATATTATCTTGCATATTTGTAATTGAGATGTACTCATTTCAATTGAGTTGGGATTGTGCCCACTATATCATTGTAAATTTTATTTGTGGCATTGTGAATGACTATATCATTGTAAATGTTTTTTGTGTCAAATATATATGTAGTGTCGTTATGGATGACTAAATTCTTGTAATGTTTTTCTTGATTCTAAGTGTGACTAATACATACTTTTTTTTTATCTATAATGTTGCCTAAATATTTTTTTTTTTCTCAGCAGGAACTAATTCATGTTTGTCGAAATGAAGATTTGTGACAAGTCCATATGTATTGAAATTGTGAATTACTATACCATTGTAAATATATTTTTTATTGATACTATATCAATGTAAATTTTTTGTTCTATATGTAGTGGCGGATATGCTATTTTTATCTATAATGTTACATAAATAAATTATTTTTTTCAGTAAGAACTAAAATATTTTTGTCAATAAAAGTATTTTGCATTAACAACAAATATAACTTCATGAACATATTATCACTACACACTATGTTTATCCTTTTGTGGGATGTAAATTAAATGATAAATACTAGTTCATGCAGGGAAAGAACATA